CCGCGTGACTATGCATGATGTATGCACTTATACATGAATATACTCGCTATCTCCCTTTACTATGGGGGATACCTTGAATGGGAAGTGTTACTTTCGCCTTAGCTTCCCCTGCTGACGGTGCGCCCTCGAGACATAGCTTCATCCGACAACTTACCTCACCAGATATCGACTAAGCACTATTAATATATATATTATTATATATATATATATATATATATATTATATTATTAATGATTATGGTGTTTAGTGATATGCCACTAGTCGGAATTGGAAGGGAGGGGAGAGAGTCATGGGTTGGGGAGAGAAGGAGACGGACACGCACTCAGCCACGATATGGCACGACTAGGGCAGAGGCAGACGCGACGAGAGCCGGACGAGACGGAGCAGACGGACGGGGAGAGAATGCGGGAGAGAGGACGGGCCGACAGAGAGGCCCCACAAGATGGAGAAAGAAGATGGAGGGCAAGATGGAGGACGAAGACAGAAATTGAGATGGATGGTGAGAATGGGAGGGGGGATGGGGGGACGATCTGCGGAGAGGACGGAGGGATGAGAGACTGGATCGGGGACTCGACGGGCCCACGGGAGAACGGTTAGACGAGACCACGCACCACGCGGGCGGCGCCGAAGCCCGGGGAAGATGGAGCCCCATAGGGACGAAGACGACAACGCGGCGATCAGAGAGGTGCGGGATGAGGAGGAAATGAGAGGGTAACTGGAGAGGAGAGCAAAGAGAGAGAGAGGAGGATGATCGAGAGAGAGTGCATAGAGAGGTAGGAGAGGACGATGAGAGGAGAGATCTGATGGAGATAATGAGGGAGAGCGAGAGGAGATGGAAGAATAGGAGAGTAGAGAGAGAAGCGAGATGAGAGAGAGAGAGAGAAAGAGAGAGAGAGAAGGAGAGAACCACCGAGTGAAAACGGGGATGTTATATAATATGTCGTATGTAATATATATGTTGACGACGTAGAGCCGGTGTCGCTGCGCAGCATGCCGCCTGCCTGCCGACGTCCAAGCAGCCCAGCGTGCAACACGCAAGGTGATGACCAACCAACCAGCCAGCCAGCCACCATACACCGACGATCGGCGAGCAGCAGAAATCTCTCGCGCCGCGGTGTACTAATTGCGACACACGATGCTATCGGTAAATATAAATCGATAATGCATAGGCGCTGAAAGCTGTCGTGAATGGGAATCTCTCCCGCTCGGACAGCTGCTCGGGCGGGGTGGGTGGGGAGTGGGGGAGGTCGGCGGCGTAACTGATGCCCCTGAGCTAGCAACACGATACATACGATCGCCGCCGGTGATTATATAATTTACGCCCTTTAGGTGTAACAGCCGCAAGCTGCGCAAGGAGATCCATGCGCTGACTAATCGAGCCTAGGCTCTCTCTTATTTACAACGTGCGATGGCGCTGCGACGCGTCCAATATACTTAGGACCTGTTGATAAATGACGTCAATGGTAACGCACGCATGCAGGCAGGCATGCGCAGGTGAAAAATTGCGTTTAGCGTGTATCGCGTTTGCCTAGCAGCGTCCGGGTATAGGCCGGGAGCATTCGTAAAGCAGTCGTCAGTGTCTAGAGCAGATGCGATGCCGCGGGACGTCGTAGTAAAACTCACGCTGGCGGTGTCACGGGAGAGCGCGCGGTGAAACGAACCCGCATTTTGCGGCGAGTGCGAGGAATGATGCGTTTAAATGCGATTTTATCGCCAGGCGCCACGGCGGAGCTGTGGTCGCGTCAAAGAGACGCGACCGTAACGTTTCATTTCATCGGTTTAAGCGGCTTTTGGATTCCACTTAGATTTCTATTAGATTTCAGACGCGACTATTCATGAAATTGAACCCGTGTTTTGCTTCGTTTCAAGATCGAGTAAATGCACCGATTGGTTAGTTAGACACGGCAGCTGCTACCCGCATTTCTGAAGGATCAATAGAGTCATTCTATTCGTTATATCAAGAGTCTATCAATAGATTCCTATTGATAGACTCCTGGTTATATCGGAGCGATAGCTTATATGAATGTAGCCATTTGAACTGAAAGTAGGCCTATTGAAAGCGACTGTAGTGAAACTAGCGAATGCCCTATCTACGTGTCCCGCATCCCGGAATGCATCGCGCCAAGACGCTAACGCCATCTAACGCCATTTATAGAAACATAATAAAATCAATCAAAAACGGAAATATACGATTACGTAATTCTCACCGTCGGAATCAATATCATCGAAGAGCTGCTCGGTGATGAGATCTTCGATTATGGCCGCCGAGTTATCGCCCCTCTTGCCGAACGCACTGTTTAAGCTTCTCCATCCGCGCTTGCCGAAGGCGGTGTTCAGATCGTGCCAGCCTCTCTTCTCCTCGTCCGCCACCAACTGATCCTCGGCTGTGTCGACGGCGTCTCTCTTGCCGAACGCCATCCGCAGGTCGCGCCATCCGCGCTTTCCGAAGGCCGTGTTCAGATCGCGCCATCCGCGCTTTCCGAAGGCCGTGTTCAGATCGCGCCATCCGCGTTTTCCGAAGGCCGTGTCCAGGTCGTGCCAGCCGCGCTTCTCTTGCTCGTCTGCGTCGTTGTCGCGCTTACCCCAGCTCGTCTGCAGGTCGTGCCAGCCCGCGCGCTTGCCGTATGCGTGCCCCAGGTCGTGCCATCCACGCTTGTCATCGTGCGGCGCGTCTATATCGACGGCATTGCCGAGTTCGTTCGTATCTTCGGCAAGCGCGAGCGCGAGTGCCGCTAGCCCGGCGAGTAACAACAGGTAGCAGTGACAACAGGTCATCTGCATATCGACGTCGGATCGGCTCGTCACCTGAAACGGGACAGACGACAAGAAAGAGAGAGCGAGAGTTAGTGTTTAGGCTGTGTTACGCTGGCGCGCATGATGCATTACGCGGGTCATATGTACGCTGTAGCTATACAAGCCAAATAACAGCGACTGCACGAGGCGCATGCGCACAGTCGAGAGCTGTGGAGCGGTGCCGCACCTTGTGGTGGTAGCGCGGATCGGTTATCTAGACGTAAACGATGAGTAGAGTGCATTACTACGGGGCTGTAAACAGAACACAATCACCCGCATACACGTGCGTGTACAAACACACAAGCGCACACCTACACATGCACCGAGAAAGAGGGGAGGAAGAGAGACGGAGCGAGAGAAACCGAGAAAGTGAGAAGAGAGAGAGAGAGAGAGGGAGAGAGAGAGAGAGAGAGAGAGAGAGACGGAGAGAGAGAGAGAGAGAGACAGAGACTGGGAGAGAATGTGAAGATATATCTTCATGGGGAGCCAAGCCATCTAAGCGCTAAAAATGCACACACACACTCAAGACACACGCACACACACACACACACACACACAC